TGACGCGCGAGGATCTCGGTTTCCCCAAAGCCGGAACGCTGCACGGTCGATGTATAATTTCGGCGAACAAGAATTCAATTTAGCCGAACACGGTGGCAAGTTTTTGTTTTGGGGCTTTATTGCTTTACGAAAATACCAACCCTTCTGTTTACACTCAGAAATATCTAAAGGACTATGAGAAGCATGCTTTTTTATGAATTATTTTCGATCCCGCAGATGATTTTCATGTTTTTAATAGCTTATGTGGTAGAAACTTTCCCGTTGATTAAGAATTTTCAATCCGTTCCTCGCTATCTCTTTTAGTTTACAAGATATTCGCAAAAGAAAAAAATCTCCGAAAAACATGATAAAAACGCTCCTTCAATAGTTTTAATCACTATTTCTAAACCTTTACCCAAAGAAATTTATATAGTACTTTATTATCTTGACTTATTAAGAATTTACCATAGATTATAAATCATCAAACCGTTCCCCTCTATCTCTTTTAATTTACCAGATATCCACGGTTTAAACATCACAAATAATGTGAAAAATTAAATTAAATTGCATTGTGAAGATTTTTACTAATAATTTACTATTCAAATGTATTAAAATCTTTATTTACACATGAACACACTGTATAGCTAATTACGAAATGTGTTGTCATACACTTTCACCAATTTACAAGTCTTGTGATGTTCCAACAGTCACAAATACCACACGGCCACAGTCGAAATCACAAAATTAACATACATCAACTGAGCGCACGGGGAAACGCACAATTCTACTTCTAATTCAACTTCTACATCAACTTTCGGAGCACATTACGCAAAACCTTCGCGCATAATGCGTGCAAAGTGCTCCACATCGTTCGCAGCGCGCCCGTTCGTTATCATTAGGTAAATTAAGGTCAATATAAAGTCATAGCACACCATGAAATCGTCCATCAAGTCGAGGCGCCGAAATTATTTGTATAACGTCGCGAGTTCGCGCTCAAACAAACAATATTTATATACCGATATTGTGTCCGCAATATAATTATTACTCTCACAAACGTTATTTGTTTAATCAAATATGTACGTAGGTAATTTTATTTAGCAATCAAAATTATAACTTTTAATCAATTTGCCATTGTACTATTAAAATTAATAAAACATATTCATATTTTATTTTCATTGTGATTATATTTTGTTGATTCAAGCAAGGTGTATCGATAAAAAAATTAATATAAATACGCCAAGTGCTGAATCAACTTAAAGTTGATTCCAGTGATATCATATCAGAATTGAAAACAAACAAAATCAACAAATGATTAGATTACGAATAAAAATACAATCCACGCACCAATAACATCAATAGTTCTGATCTTATCAGGTGTAACGTATGTGTAATTGATGAGTAAAACGTACTGTTAATAGAAATATAAATCGGAAAGGAATGCGATTGACTCACCGTGTCCAAATTAAACAAAGAAGACACCTTCTTAATGAACCCAACCTCCTGCGTCTTCTTTTTCTTCCTCGTCGTCATTTTAGTCAAAATAATTTATCGTAAATTTAATTCGTCAGAGTTGTAAACGTGAACATGAACTAAAAGTATAAAAAATGGACCAGAATTCAATAGTGAATGGTTGAAAACGAGAACAAAAACGACAGCGAGAGTTCGTGATGCAATAAAGAATAAAAATCAAACAAACTCCGACACGGTACGACTTCATGTGTTGTGCAAGCGTATCATGTTTTGTTACATTTTGTTTGCTTATAGTTTACACTGCCAGAAATACCAAAGTAGACTAAACTAACATTTAAATTAACTGCTCGAAGAAAAATTATTTACGGACTAATGTTATTGCATTTACGCATTGTATGTTGCTTTAACTAGTCATTAGTATATTCGTTTTCATATTTATTTTCATATCAGATTTCAATTTTCTACAAAAAAAATTAAAAAACAAAGAAAATCGATTTTTAGTTCATTTTTTGAATTTTCTTCGCAGAATACGTTATCCATTGTTAATAAAATATTATTTTGAATTGCAGATATTATATTATGCGTTGTTTTTCATAAATACTCAGCTTTAAGACAAGGCGCATTGACTTAAGTAAGTTGTATGACCATGAGTCATTGACCATGGCATTAACCCTTCTTCTCTCGATATTCCTCTTCAGTTGTGCCACAACACAGCCGGCTTTCATAGAATAAAATAGATAATTACTTAATATGTGTTAAAGCAGCGCTTGCGTCCGCTTCGCACAGCATGCTAAACGTGATGAAACACGAATGCCAGCACCAGTTCCATAATCGGTGAGGTTCTAAGCATGTATGGTGAGAGAATGTGTAGAATGTGATAGTGCAAACAGAAATGGATCTAAATATGAATACCATTAAACGTAAGGCATATTTAGGTGGATGCATATGAGAGATATGAAAAGAGTCCGTCCCTGGGTGCGGATGTGTACCAGCAAGGTTGCCGCTTGCCCAACCGCAGCGAGACCTGCCGACCGGTGATATGCGATACACCTTCGACCTGTTCCGAGTGGGTGTGGGCCCTCGAATGATACGAAAGCCAAGCCACAGACAAGATATCTAATTGGAATTTAAAGTTTCGGACTTAAATTTTAATCAAATGCCAATCCAAAACGTAAATCTTGATTTCTATTGGAGGTTATGTCATGCAAGCGCATCTTTGAAACTCCTGCGTATTCTGACAGTTCTGGCCCAAACCAAAATGTAAACAGTAAGCACACACCACCCACAACAACCATGAACCACCGTGCACAAAGTTTGCTCGCTTATTAATTCATAGCATCGCGATACTCACATTGTTTGATACCAAATTAATCATCCTGCGGGTGTGGGCGTTTTTCAGTCCCGAAATTTCGTCAGATATGATAAAATTAACCACTTGTTACCATCGCGGTAATAGTAGACACGCCGATGTACAACTTTTGCTTATTTTCTTGATAACACATCACATAATCGCCGGGCAGGTGAGTAGAACAACATTGAGAACACTTTTACGTAAATAATTTAGGAACATTGCACAAAACTCGCACGCACGAAACGCGTTACACAACACGAGCAAACATAATACACGCCGGCGGACCGAAAAAACGAACGCGAGATTTTTTGGGGCTTCGGTTTCGTTTCAGTCGGAAACCTGCGAGCGCGAGTGTAACGACATTTTAGGACCACTTGTTCAGCGGCTTCGACGCAGCGCTAGCTTGATGCCGTGGACTGAGCATGCGCAGAGTACTCTAGCATTATCGTTAAGTGGCTTCACACGATACCAACGCTCACGAGCGTTCACGAACGCGCAGCAAGTTGAACAGCGGCGAGTGTAGACGACTTCGTACGAGTCGACTTAAATTCAAAGTTATGATGCGTATACTTGGCTGCCTATGACACGACTGCTCAAAATGTTCCCACTTTGAATTCGGAGGTATAAATATGACCTATTTGTAGATATCGAACCAACGAACACACAATCAGTGCGATGTCATGTGACCGTTTAATATTCGATTTTTTCGCCGCGGAAAGATTGTAAAGAGAAAATCGGATAATGGTTCGATACGTTAACGTCGTAAAAGTCTCATGGCCGCGCGGATAAAAACGAGTGGGCGACTTTTATCAAACCATTTTCACACACAAACACACCAACGCGAAATATTCATGCAAAACGTACGAATGCATAATTTCGACTTGTGTTTGCGACATCGGCATCCGCCGGGAATGAAACCCGATTAAATTTCAATTCAGTTTTCCGATCCGGTGATCGGCGGCGGCGGAGGTAAAGCCGTTCGCTCGAACGCAGGTGCGAATCGCGCGGCGAACGCTTTGCTTGCAAAATAAATTTTCGCCACCGTCGGCCCACCTGCCGCACACCCCCACATATGCATAATATAGCGCATTCGTAAACGCGGTTCTCGTGAAATATGAAATTCACACGGCCTAACATTCTGGCGTTACTTATAGGGAGTTATGGCCGACGAGTCGTAAACGCAAGTGTAGAAAACGCTTGCTTTCACAAAAAGTTGTACGGCACAATAAAATGGGAATCGGAGCGCTGAAATGTACTAAAACGCATGCATTATAAAAAAATCAAAGATCAAAGCCAAATATCGCGTGATATTTACGTTTGACAGAAAATATTTCATCGAAAAATATTGCAACTGCAATACGTCTATAAATACCGCTGAAATAAAAATCATGTAACACGTAATATTTTACGTTATTACAGGTTTCATTTGATTTTTCATGTAGAAGTGAAGTTTCTTAATGCATAAATGACAACAGCCGTTGTGTAATCGCCTATCATTCGACTGTTACTAACGCAATTTCATCGAAACCTAATACTTTATTTTTCAGCACGCCCATAATAATCCATATGTACATTCCGATCTATGTCGACACAATCGATGCAATCAGAGCCGGGAGTCCAATTAGAAGCAATTTGATTGCATGTTCGACATTGTTTCGACTGTCAGAGGCATCAATACTGCACAACACTATTGATCCTAATCGTAGTTGGTAATCAATTGGTTTGTAGTGGCCGATTTCAATTGAAATTCGGCTATTATATTTCCAAGAAATATTCAATACGCACGCATCGATTAATTATATCAAAAGCTACTTGTATCCAACATGTCCTGGTTTAATTATGAAGAATGACTTGCGCTGACAAAGTGTTTTCACATTTTGGATTCCCTAATGAACAAGGGTTTTGTATCAGGTCTATGAGCTGGTACTCATCTGTTTATCTCCAGACACGCGGAGGCTTTCATCCGCTTCGTCATTAGCCAAAACGGCGTTTTGGGGTTTGAAAGGCCGGCGATAAGTTAAAATGTTCAAAATTTGCGAGGGCTAAAGATAGAAGATTAACTCGGCAAATTATCCCCACCGGACAGAGGATACAATAGCGTGTTCGAGGAAGCACAAGATTAAGGATCAATATTATTCTAGGCTTTATATGTTTGCGAGTTCAAACGGTTTGTTTATATTGAGTAATAAAAGTTACTTACTTGATCACTGTCGTTGCCCTGCCAGCTGTCAGTAGCCTGAAACAAAAGGAAAATTTTAGTTTCAGCTTATTCAAATGAAGCCATAGGGTTAATGCTAATTGGTTCGCACCAACCCCCACTCCACTTGAGAGCAAGTGTTAAAAGTTAAGGATAATGACAGAATCGCACCACATCACATTACGAGCCCTCCTCGAAATGCTTCCGCTAACCGTTAACACAATTCGGGGTTGAGAAGCTGTCAATGCGTATTCGATGCGAAACAGTCGAGATCGGTTTCCTCTTAATTACACATCGCGCCATAATTAATTATCCCGTGAGTCGAACGCCGGCGCTGACTGTAAGTGAATTCCGGGGGCAGCGTGCCGATGTATCATTCGGCCGGAATGTCGACGAAGCACTTCGAGTGCTGGATTCCAGTCACATTTGCATTGGAGGCCTTTATGCAAAGCGGGTGTTTAGTTTTCGAAAGGTCATCCCAGACCGGCCACTACGCGGTTTGGATATTGCTATCCGCAACCAAATTCATATTTAGATCTGCATAACATTAGGATTCGAGAATAGAAGAGAAGAGAAGGAGGATGAGGAGCACAGGCTGGTCATGCGAATAATTTGTATCTGAATTAGGCGGAGAGCTAGATTTAGGGTAATTTATTTGTTTCGCAAGTGTCCAAGCAATAAATCCATCAAACTCCGCCGGCAAATACCTTAACAAGTCATCAAAAGTGATTATATTTTAGGTTTGTTGCCGAAAACGCTCGCAAAGACAAATTCCGACACTGAAAACAATTGATGTACATATTCTGTTGTTGCATGCAGACGTAATTGTTATGCTCGTTTTGTCTGCGCGCACAAAACCGACCATTAATCATAATCGCGACGGAACCGAATTTGAAATACGACCGCGCGCGCTTTCCTCTCTGCACACACAAAACAATCAAGCGAATCGCGTGACTGACGAGCAGACAATGCTGGAATTTGTAAGTGAACCGACGCCTGCTTCGGCAAAATCTGACGAGTTCTCACCAGTAACAGCCAGAACAAACGTTTACAACTGCTTAAATAACTCGCATTGCTAGCGAATTGGCAATGAGGAATTACCGAAGGCAGCAGCACTGTCGTCATTAATAATTGAGTTCGATTTTAAGCTATTGCCACCCCCGCTTGGCTGATTGATTAAAAGGGGAAGTAATTAGATTGATAATCAGCCGCGACAGAATTGTTAGTCTTTGCACTTGACATGAATCCCTTATAATTAATTAGAAACCGGAAGTTTAATAACTGATTCTGACTTCTTTTTTAGATTACATTTTTAAACAAAAGAAAATCACACTAAAACCTATTGGTTTATGCACGCGAAAAAAAACATAACTGATGCTCATATTTTCTCCTTCTGTCCGCGAGAGCGCAAATTCAGGCAATATTTTTTCATGATATTTGAGCTCGCGTTTATTTCCACCAGCTCGGTGGCCCAATCCCTGCATAACACACTACGCGCCCGGATTACGTATTACAGCACTGTGCGACAAGCAACAGTCGCGAAAATCGGGCGAAACAAGAATGGGACAAGGAAGCGTGGCGAGTGCTAATGGAGGTTTAATAATCCGGCCCGGATTCGTTTTCCCGCATTTCCGCCAAGCCGCCCCCGCATCGGCACAGCAATAAATGGACTTTTCACGTCGCGCAAGGCACGCGTATTTTAATTTACGTGCAATCGTGCATTCATCATCACTGCAACGGCGCGAAAACAATAAAACCGACAAAATTATACTCCTTAAATCACATGACAAGATTTATGTTGATCCAAACAAAAAATTTCAATTTTTATTCAAATGCAAAACGAAACATCCGATAAAGATTTAAAACTTGTGCATAAAATTGTAGATGGTCTGGGTTGTTATTAAAACCATCTTGCGGTTGAATATATTCAATACAGAATCATCTCAAACTATACTTTCTTGCTTGAATACATTTCTTCTATTTTGTCTTGTTTCAGGCATATTTTTTGCGTCGGTTTAGAAGTTTTCCGCATATTGCGAACCATTCAACGAGTACGAATCCGAGACGACGGCGCTGCGACGCTCGTTATCCTTCCAACTTTTGCATTCCCCAATATACTTATATCCCTGTAGCTGCAGGATGGGGTAATATTTACGGACGACTTGTTTGTTCAATTTGTACCGACAATATATATCTATATATACAACGGAAATGGTAACGACGCGCCAAATCACGCTGAATCCATAAAAAATCAATCGATTCGACTTTGCGCGATGAAAATAAACGCAAAAATAACTGAAATCTAAAATTTAAAATAATACTACGTACTTACTATGAATGTGGTTTTATAAAAACAGTTTATTCTTAAACTTTCGTCTGTTTTTTTCTTGAATAGTAATTCAAGTGGGAAATTTATATTCCTACTTGTCCCTCGCGCATAATGTTATTAGTGACTATAAATACGGAAGCCGTTGTTTGTTCTTCTCGCGTGTAAATAATGGAAGGCCCTCTGGCTTAGTAACACTTGAGCAGTTCATTATGTGGCTCCTGGAAGGCCGCCGCGTCGCGGTGCAACAGCGTGCTGATACCCGGGCTTCGAGAGAAGTCTCCCCCGAACCCACGTCCTATGCTTGGGTAGTTAAAACGGGAACAGTCAAGGATAATGGCAGGCGCAAGGAGAGCGCGACAAACGACTCGATGTGTGTTACCATAGATTGTAAATAAAGACATCTCTTTGCCGCCACGGATAAATTTTACATTCTACAATTTCAACAACTGAATAGTTGTTTTTTTCTCAAGAGATTTTCATGGGATGAAAAGCCTTGAAAACACTCGTTAGCGCTATCGTTCTGAATTTCTTGCGATGTTGATTGTGCGCTTTGCGCAATTATCAATGAAAATACAAACGAGCTGGAATATGGAAAGCAGCGTTTCTCGCATTGTCTGTGTATCATGTTTTGTCTGCTTCCTGACACGAGTTTCTTATAAATCCTTTAGTTTTGTGCTTCATTGTGATTTTCCAGCGCCGCACGATGTTATTGCAGCCCGTTGGCGCTGAAATTTCGTCTTTGACAAAGCCGTAACGCTTTAATAAGCCGTTATTTTAATGAATCCCGCAAATATGCGCAGTTGAAATTTGAAAGAACAGACACAGAACACCGAGCGCACACACAATTTCGGTCCTGTTTTTACATCAAAAGGATACTTTTGTTTCCAGCGCCGCGTTTGTAGGCGTCGCGCATTCAAACTTTTCCACGTTTTCCACATTTTCCACGTGTTTGCCTTGAAATTTATTACTTTTATTATATCGCACACTCTGTGTGCACCTTTACGCCGGAATTCTCGCATTCTTACATTTCACGTGTCTCGGAATTACGCAGATACGTTGAATCTCGACACATGAACAAATTCCGTACGAGACAATGATATTTCAAAGCATTACTGAAGTGCACTGAGGAATTATCACTTGTGGGTGGTCTAGAGACGAATTTTGATTGTAATGGACGCACTGGATGGAATTAATATGCTGACTACCGAGCGTATTAATTTTAGCTGATGTCGCACTGTTGATTCTTGGAGAAAATTGCATTTGTGGGTGTGCTAAAGGCAAACATAATCAAAGTACCTTGTTAATTAAATGCTGCGATGGTGTCTAATTACCAAATGATCACAAACTACAGGAAATTGAATATTGCGCTATGAAATATTATATTTTTAAATTTCTTGTTGTACCAAACTTCCGATATGTGATACTATCATCACATCAGTTAGTTAAAACAATGAAACCTGTGTAAATAGAGCGTACAACGCAGCATGACTAAGCGCTCATTCAGTGGAAAACACTGATTGATCAGATAAAACGATAATAATTTTAAAAAAATGCAATTTTACAAACTTTAAAAGCTCGAAAACATATTTTGCAAAGAATTGCATGTTGCATCTTTTAACTTTCTTTATTTCTTGTTGGTTTTGTTCAAGTCTTTCGTGCTCTGCAAACTTGCACTATAAAAATTAAATTTTAAATAACGCCTTTTCTTCTTCGTTCGTTGCTTTGGAGTTTTTGCACTCCACGCGACTAAATGCTTTCCTTGTAAGTCTACAACCAAGCCCGGAATGGCATGGAAGTAAATATGACCCATGAGACCAACAAATACTCGCCTGCTCGACCTTTCCTGCTACTTTCCTGCGCCGTCTTGCGGCACCGTACAAACTGAGTGGCATAAATGATGAATACAATTTCATAACACTGAGCAGAACACGCCGGGTCACCGACAATGCGAATGTTTTATATCGCGCGCATGCCGACACGGACGAAATAGAATTTTCGCCGAAATGATAATAATACTCAGAGAAATGAGGTCGAAATGAGAGAACAACGAGCAGTCGAAAACCCTCACGTTTCACGAACTTTACTTTTCCTTCTTTAAACCTATTTCTTTTTGCTACTCTCTTGGTATTCGGAAAAAAAGGGAAAACATCCGAGAGTAGAATTTGAATTAATAATCCAGATTACACTGTTTACTTCGCATCGCAATGCGTGACTACGTACGAGGAATAGACTATTAAGTTCAATTTCTAATAAGTTGGAAAAATGCATATTTCCATGCGATAAGACAAAAGCTCTACTAAAAACTTAATAATGCCCATTATTTTACAGCGTAATAGCGACGGATGAAAACGTTTTCTGAACTAATGTGCCCATTACGTTGAAATGTCTGCACCAAGCAGTACCAGCTAGCGTGGGTTTAATCGAAGAGGTGGGCCAGACAACCATTGAAAGTAATCGGTTATTATTTTGTACTTTTATACAAGAAATTCAACTTGCACGGAAATAATTTCAGTTAATTTGTTTTCACTGATTTAATTGTCGTTGTCAAATAAATTTTACTGCGTAATTTTATTTTCATACTGAGATGTAAGTTAATTAACCTTTGCGTTGAGAATGGCAATGATTAATTGGCTGCAATAACGTAAAGAGACGCATTTCTTAAATTTTAATGAGAGCCCGTTTGCTGATATTTCCGAGAGCAAAAAGTTAA